GGTTTTAGTGGGTCAAATCCAACGGTGGATCAAGGGGGGGGGGTCATGGGGTTCATGCCCCCTTCCTGAGCTGGTTGGTCAAGAGATTTAAAAAACATATTTATAATAATAAACTTTATTTCAAGCTACACTTTTTTTTGCTCATAGTTTGTTAGTAATAGAAAAAAACTTAATACCTATGTTAGTCACACATACATACATCCAAATGTTATTCTAAACTGTACAATTATCGCTTGACACGTGCAGCTTTATGCAGTGATTGATATATGCACAATCCAGTCTGCTGGCAATCATATGTAGAATGGCGTTGGAGCTGGCTCGCACCCTGCGCACCAGGGATGCGCATCTTTTACGCATAGTGGCATAGAAGCAATCGACGCGCGCTTCTGCAAACATCCCTGATGCGCTGCAGAATCGAGGCAGCCCCAACAGCACTCTGAAAGCATTATTGTACTGAACGCGAAGGGTGTTGTAGGATTTTTGCTTGTAGCTCGCCCACAGGCTACTCGCGTAGAAGCTCGTACAGTAAGCTCTAAATAGAGTGATTTTAACCTCTTTCGAGCAGCGAGCAAACCTGCGAGCGATGATGTTGGCCCTCACCGACAACGCCCTGCGCTCCCTCTCAATGTCACCGTCGTCTTTGAGATCAGTGGTAATGATGTGCCCTAGGTACTTAAACTGGTATACCCTGCTCAAAATCGATCCGCAGAGTTTAATGTCCGGTATAGAATAAGTGTAACTATTTTTACCACCTTTCTCAAATATCATGTACTCGCTTTTCTTTACATTATAGATTAATCCGTGGCTATTCGCATAGTTTTCACAAATCGCGAGCAATTTTCTTTACATATTTTATTTACATATTTTGTCAGACTTTTGACTTGACCATGACTGTGACCCCCCCTGGCGCCAAAGTTCGAATCGCCCTTGGTCAAATCCTACATAACCCTGCCTTCCTCATAGAAGTCAAGGTATCTTTTGATTTCCCCCTGAAACCAATAAAAGGGGGGCCTTATTTCAGTATTTGTGCTAAAAAGACATCTGTTCTTGTTATAAGCATGTGTTGATGAGTAAAAATCGTCGGTGAACTGGTACCAAACGTACTATATTTGACCTAGATAACTCTAAACTGGCGTATCACAGTTTCACGTTCGGTAAACCGTAAACTTTGACATTTCAAAGTTAAACGCTTTCCAGTTGAATGCGTTAGTTGGAGTAACATTTTAAAATAGAAACTATAAACGCAAAAACATAAGTAGAATTAGTTTATCTAAATTTGTTATAAGAAGTCAATCGTTAATTAATTAAAAAAAAATAACTAGCATGCTCATTCAATTAAAAAAAAAAAGCATAAAATGATCAAGTCGTTTCCTTGGTTTTTTTTGTAACCCAATCATTAAAATATTCACAATCTATCAATAAAAAAGCCACTGACTTTCCTAAGACTATATTTGCAACTATCTTTTGCCCACAACTCCGTTTACATGGAATTAAAAAAAAAGTAGCCTATGTCTTCCAGGCTATCTTTTACATTTTCATCCAGTCCTTTCAACAGTTTAAGCGGCAAACTCCAACATCCATACATATTAAATTCACATTTATAATATACTAGCTTTCGCCCGCAACTCCGTCCGCGTGGGACTAAAAAAAAACAAAAGTGAGTATCCTATATGTTCTTCCAGACTATCCTCTACATCTATACCAAATTTAATCTAAATCCGTTCAGTCGTTTAGGCTACAAACTCTAACAAACATCCATCCATCTAAACATTCGCATTTATAATATTAGTATGATAAGATTGTTAAAACATGAAATGCAAATTCCGTATTGACATAACGTTATTCCATAACGTAGACATATTATATTAATCAGTATGCAATGCAGACATAGAGCGGGAAGTACAGCTTATACTGAATAATATAATAGCTGACACATTATATTGTCGCAACTCAGCTGTATTAATGCAGTATTAATGTAGACATGAGAAGTTATATGATGCATTCAAGGTTTTCCGTACATTATATACCGACAAATTATCTATCTCCTAAAGTAACATGTTTGCTATCGCTCATCGAAAAGTACAAAATGATGAAACTGGCAATAACTTGCAAATAGTCACGTGTTTGTCATTTATTTATATATGTCATTTTGATACATTTCATTATTTACACTAATTGATATCGCTAATTGAAGTCGCTTTGGCTAGAGGGACAGGACTTCACTAACGCCCTCCAGTAACAGTATCGTTTGTCAAAACAATCTTTTCATGTTATAGCTGTTCGTGTGCATTATTTGTATGCATTATAATGCTATTTTCTTTATTCATATCGGATTTATATAATTTATAGTAGAACTAACTGATAACAGCATCTCTAGCAATTATGTTTTATAACAGCGCCATCTACCGGTTGCAATTGGGAATCAAATCCTGCGATCAATTCTGAAATATTTAACCGTTATGATTCTTACAATTTTGGATGTAAATATAAAATTCGTATTGTTTTCGAATTAAAAAATGACGCGTCTCGTCCATAAATTGCAAAAAATCCGTTGTCAGCGAAGCTTTAACAATTATAAAAACATGGACGCAAAACTAAGTTAACAGAGTGCACTCCATTAAAAGTTGTTTGAGTTTCAAACAAAATGATAACAGCGTTGTATAAAATGCATACAAGTTACTCGTAGTTACTTAACAAACTTCGTAGCAAAATCGTAGCAGACCACGTAGCGGAAAGCGTAGCAGACCGCGTAGCGGAAAGCGAAGCAATACAAAAAAGATGAATAACAAATAAATTTTGTATTTTTTGTACCAATGTTGACATTATCTTGGTCGACTTCTGGATTATTTTATTTTAAAGCAAAAATTACAGAGCTCATAAAAGTGATTAACAATTCAAACAGGATCACAACCTTTCTACGGAAGTTCTTAACTTAAAGATATTTTTATTTAAATCTCATTTATGTGGAACAATAAAGGTATTTTTAAATCATAATTATAGTACCTAAGAAATAATGTAAAAGCACCCTTACAGTATGAATAAATGATTACAAAATTACTATTTCCTGAACAATGATTCTAATACCCTGACGAGTTTCAATTGAGTCCACAACAATGTAGGTCAAAAGGGACCCTCTTTCAACCGTTCAAGAACCACTCAACAAATGTAACAGACAATTGTATTCTTCCTCGTTAACCTAAGCCTTAAGGAGCCACAATAGAAAGTCTTGTTCTTGAATTAACTTAGCATTCAAAATGTTATATTTATTTATAATACCATGGATTTCTCACTGCGTTAGTAGAGCTGTAAAAACCTTATACACCTCATTGTCTTTGAAACAGCAGCTAAAACAGTATCTTTTTATTCAAAGGGTCTATCACGAATGTTTGCGACACAGTGAGAAGATATTCGTAATGTCGTCGAATTAGTTTGTATGAGGTTAGAGTTAGTATTTTTTACGCCCACTATGTGCTACACTAATACTTTTGTCGATAACGTTACGAAAATGTTCTCACGAATATTCGTGATAAACACTCAGAATACCTGATAATATTACTAACTAGTTGTTCCCGTGCGACTTCTTCCGCATAAAATTATGAAAATTTTATTCTATTGTTTTCGTGTGTCAAATTATCAATTGCAAATGTCAAAATGACATGATGAAAAACCATGGCAACCTTGTTTCCTTGATGATGGTAGCAACTTATGGTCTCTTTACCACATCAGGGTTTTATCAAAAATATTTACCCCCTAGTTTAATGGCGTGAAAATATATAGCCTAAAGCGTGTCGTAAGTGTAAGGTTTTTTATTAAAAAAAGAATGATTCAATAATACGTTGTAATTGCTGACATCTTAGGCAACAAAGATGTGTGTGTTTACGCTTTATTATATTAGTATAGATGTAGTTTTCTTGCACTTGACCTTTAAACGTTAATGAAACATAAGCCTTTGTTAAAATGATGTTCTTCGCAAAGCAATATTAAACAATGTTTTATAATTTTAAAAATATAACAACAGTTATGAAGCCGGCGGGCGGTATAAATATTATAATATAACCTTCTTAAAGTAGGGTGCCTACAATTTATAAATAAAAGTAGATTATGAAGATAAAAAGGCTACCTTTCTATAAAAGTCTATAAATTCAATATTTTATTACAAAAAAGAAAAGCATTTTTTTAATTGTTTTTTTTTTAATTTACAGGCTAAAGCCCATAAGCCAACTAAAATACGGTATCTACATTAGAAAAGTTTCATTGTTTTGTCAACTAGATGGCGCTTTTATAAATTCAATTAAAAATTATCTTTGTTAACAAAAAAAACCCTATTCAATGTCATAAAAATACTGAAATGTTTCATTTTATTCACATGTGCATATTGTGTATTTTTATGTGTTAAAGATTCAAATATAAAAACAGGACTTTCCAGAAATTGCACTAAGCATTGTCACCCCATGTCTACACGGGTAAAACGCTATAACGAAGCTCAAAGTATTTTTATTCTCATTATATTATGTTTCTATTTAGCGTCGCGTGCTGAAATATTTTTATTGTTGGCGTAATCGTTTTATTTGTCGGTTCTACTAAAAAAAAACAATAAGAATTTAATTGTTTCCCAAATGTTGCTATTAATAAAATTTTATTTGAACATCATGTCTATAATCTTATGGCTGGATAAAGACAGGAAAAAAGTCCCTTTTGTTTTTCATGTTTTTTTTTTTAATCTTTGATTAATGGCTTGTTATAAGCAATGATGCTAATATTTTTATAGGATGCAATAACCCTAACTGTTCCTTGACAAAGCATATAAACATTTTTATATTATCACTAGCTGTTGCACGCGACTTCGATCGTGTGAAATTATAAAAAAACATAGCTATTCTACTCCGCGGGAACGTAGCTTATTAATGGTATTTTTTTTTAAAATACAAATCTTTCCTCTTTATAGTATTACAGATTTTGAAAACAACTAATTTACATATTTCTGTTTGTTTCAGATATTTGCTGTAATTTTTTTAAAATAACTATGTTATAGTGCAGTTAAAAGTACATTTAGTAGTGTTTTGATACCTGTGTGTTTGTAATAAAAACTTTGTGCATTAAAATGGGTTGTAACACAAGCTCCGAGTCGAAAACGAAAAAGGACGAGCAAGCACAGTCGCAGGACAATACTAACAATACTTCAGGTATGAAATTTAATGAATTTAAAATAATAATAAAAAAATAGCCATTACTCACTAATAATGTAGCGTTTTAATGGTGAAATATTTTTTAAAATCAGCTTTGTAATGTTTTCAATTAATGATTTGAATACATACAAAAATACAAATGTTTCCACTTCATAATATTATTATAGATTTATATAGACTAATTATCTTTTAGCAGTAGTAGATAGTACTTTAACATATGCTGGTGCAATAACCATAGTAACAAGCAAAGCTGCTATTCGTTCTCTTTCCCTTTTCACTCTCTTCAAGGGTAGGATGGGGGATGGATGTGCGGGGAATAAGACGCATAGGTAGGAAAGATTTCCTCAGTCTGTGCGTCGCTTCCTCTCTAGATTAAAGGTAAACACATCTGTGAATGCAAATGTAGGCCGTAGTGTTTCGCTATTTTAGCGAATTTTGATCATTACTTGCTCGTTGATCACTTTCTAGTATAAAAATATCTATACGTTAAGCAAGATTATAGTTCAAACTTACTACATGTTATTAAGGATTTTATTTTTGCCTAGTTTGTTATTTGATCTAGTCAACTTGTTTATTTTTATTTGATCAGAGAAAGTTCTTTGTAGCCTTCCATTTACTCAGTTTAATTTAATATTCCTCGCATCTTCGTTCGCATCGTAACGATATTACCTTACTCCAATCTACATGGAAACAAACATAATTCCCTTATCTTTTTTAACTTGAACATTTTATAGTTACTTTCATGTTAAAAAATACAACGTTTTTATCTTAATCTATAGCTATACTAATATTATAAAGAGTAAAGATTTGTATTCTTATATTATTGAAGTAACTCAAAATCTACTGGGCCGATTTCAAAAATTCTTACAACGTTAAAAAGCTACGTTATCAGCGATTAACATATTCCATAGACGAAGTGGCGGGCAACAGCTAGTACACGATAAAAGTAGTAGTAGTAAAATACTTGCCTTATAGAGTACGTTCATTTGAAAAAAAATAATTAACAGAAAAACATTACTAAACCTTAGTACTGTAAAATTTAAATAGATGGCGTTGATTTTAAATTATTGAAAAATTTATAGTTTTTTTTTTTTATTGTTAAGAGTTAACCCATTTTATAAAACAAATGAATTACGAGTATAATTTTAAACACGATACATTACAAAATTATATATTCACAAGTTCGTGGCTTAGCGATATTTTCTTTGCAACGTTTAACCACAAACTTACAACAATTTTGTTGCAAAGGTAATTCAGTGAACATATAAAAGGGAAACTCCGGCCTGCGGTTCATTATACATCCTTCCTTGCCTCGGGAATAATTCAACAGCTTGCGAAAAGTTCTAAAACATAAAAAGGAACATAATATCTTATTTTATTTCTCTAGGGGTAAATAAGAAGCTATCGTTAATACGATAGGGGTTTTATATAGCTTTGACTGACGATAGTTAATCCAGGAAATGTTTTTGGTACAAAAATAACTGTGTTCCGTTGTTAAGCCGGAGTCAAATTTTAGGGTTTTACATTGTTAAGTAAAAAAAATTATCAAAAAGTCAAGCGAGCAAATGGTCAAATGAATTCGCCGAAATGTTGAAGCAATCGCTTCCCGTGTATATCCGCAGATGGAGGAGATGCACAGGAAGAGAAAATTTCCCCTTATACACCTCCTTCTCCACGAAATTTGTGAAATAAGGCCATTAAAAGAATAGTAAGAAATAAATAAGTTCAAAATGGATTAATTATTAATACAAAACATCATACTTTTAGATGCATATAATATTAATTTCATTTCTTTTTTTTCTTATTTTAACGTTTGTAAAGTATCTCAAGAGATAAAAGTTTCAAGTGTAAGATGAACGTAAAATAGGAATTGGATGTAATCTTGGCGGGTTTTTATTGCGGATATAAAAACAACTGTAAATATAAAGCTACGAGTCCTCTTGGAAAAGTTTATTTTTATACACACTTAAGTTGACCTGAATAAATACTTATTATTTTTCGTATACATCTTTCTATATGCAAATTGTACTAACATTAAATAATGACAGTAAATATCTTCTCATATCTTCACAATCAAGACCATTAGGATAAAATAGGTCGAAAACGCCATCTAGTTTCAATTCACAAAACCACAGAACAAACATTTGCCCGATATTTGAATTCATAATAATATTACAACTAATATATGTATAACGCATAAATGTTTCTAACATTTTATAAGCTAGAAAATAGTCTTTTTTAATTTGTTAAGCTAGCGCTTGACCACGATCCCACCTGAAGGAGGTGACGACGCAGTCGAAAGATGGTACGAGCTAGCTTAATAGGTAGCTGTTCACTCTCCTTTTGAAGGCCCTCACGTCATATTTGGACGGGAACACTGATGCTGGCAACATGTTCCAATCCTTTGCAGTGCGCACAAGGAACGATGATTGAAACTTTTTCTTTCGAACTCGCGGAATATCAACTACGAAAGGATGGAATTCGGCCGTATGCCTGAACGTCCGATGGTAGAAAGGGGACGGTGGAATTAAATCGTGCAGTTCCTGTGCACACTCTCCAAAAATCTATACTTTATATAAATAGAAAAGTTTGTATCTTCAAACGTACTTAGAACGTAAAATTCTAGCCCAATTTAAAAAAAGGCCTTTCACCACAAGACAGTCACATTATCACTGAGTAACATAGGCTATATTTGTAACTTATTTTATTTCCGAGAAAACTAAGTCGGGACTAAAAGCTAGTCTATACTAATATTATAAAGAGGAAAGATTTGTATTTTTGTATGTATCGAAATAACTCAAAAACTACTGGGTCAATTTTATAAATTCAACGCTAGAAAGGTAATTTATCTGTGAGTGACATAGGCTATATTTTTTAATTTCACGCGAATGAAGTCGCGAGCAACAGCTAGTAATTAATGAAGTCTTACTAAACATTATTAAAGTTAGTTGAACATTAACTTTGAAATGCAAAATCTGATAATTTATTAAAACAACACAAGCAACAAACTAGGTTAAGTTAAAAAGCATACTAAAAATGATTATAATGCAGTTATACACAACAAATTAAGCGACATCCCTGTATCGTTTATGAGTCTCACGTAGCAAGATGAAATTAATTAGTGAGCGGTGTAGTGAATTAACCACTTAGTGAAACTCCTAGGAAACAAGAAACAGTAACCGTATTATCCCCGCATGTGGGAGAAGCGGGCGAGAAACTTAATTATTTATGACGTTGTGAATAAAACCTTTTTGCTCCTTTTTGAACTGAAGCCTTTTTCATCATAATTAAATATATGTATAAGCGATGTTATAATTAGCAAAAAAAAATATAAAGAAATCATTTGAAGATTATTATGGTTTATGTTACGAGCCGTTTTGCTTATAGCGGCAGGTCACGGTAACCAAAAGGCGAAGTGGTAAAAATTTGATTTGTATTTCGTACATTCGTTCCATTTATGTAAGCCAGAAACAGAGGGCGCTGTTTGCAGTCTTCTCAACGCCATCTAGTGGTTCATTTTCGGAATGAATCTCCATCCGAATGTATGTTTTCGTATTATACACTAGATGGCAGTAATCAAGTTTCTTGATATCTTGTAAAATACATTACAGCGACATCTAACGAACGACTAAGAAAGTAACCGAGTTGGCGACTTGTATAACCGTAATGTACTATAATAATACTCTAGTAATAATAATCTATAATGCCTATAAAATGTCTTTTATCTGTCTTAGATTTTTCTCATATATTTTTTATCATGCTATCATATATTTTATATGCGTTGTATACATTTGCCGTCGCACTAATCCCACCTGTTCGGCTTCGGAATAAGTAAGTGAGCCATAAATAACTTACTTTCTGAATTTCGTCCCTAAAAATAAAATCCAGAATTCGTATAACGAAGGAAAATAAACCTTTATTTAACCAAGATTCGTTGCGAGAGAAAAATATTTTTCGAAAGCGAGAAATATTTTTAAAGATGCCAGTTAGGGTTTTTACATTTCATAAATAAATTCTAGAATATTAACATAAGAAAAAGGTAAAAAAAACTTTGAACTTTCTTTCAATTAGGTATTTCTATACTTGTATTTTAATTTATTTCGTGGAAAATAACATACAAAGCCTTATAGTATAACTATATACTTAAGGATAAGTGTTTAAAAAGCTATTTCCTAAGTAGTATTTAAAATGAAATGAAACAAAACATTTTACTAACCTTTATTGTAATTCGGTCTACGAGACCCTCTACGAAGAGCGTAGCGAGTTCTACGAGATACAATTACATTTTACTTTTACTGGAATAAGTTTTATTTTATAGTAAGTTCTTGTCATTATGCGTGTATCTATACTATTATAATAAAGCGTAAACACACACTTCTTTGTTTCCTAAGATGTCAGCAATTACAGCAAATTTTTGAATAAACTTTTTTTTAATAAATAGCCCTACACTTAAGTCACGCTTTAGGTTATATATTGTCTAGACATTAAATTTAGGAAGTAAATATTTTAGATAAAAACCCTAATGTGGGTAAGAGACCATAAGTTGCTGCCAACCTCAAGAAAACAAGATTGTTAAGGTTTGTCATGTCATATCATTTTGACATTTGCTATTGATAATTGAATAAATGTAAGGAATAAAATAAAATTTTCATAATTGTATGTGGATGAAGCCGCACGGGAAAAGCTAGTTTTAGATTTATAACCAACCAACAAATATAAATAATTTTATTCCTTCGCTCATTAAAAATATTGAAATATTTAAAGGAAGTTGCGCTAGTAATTATGAGTCGACGAGCTTTTCGCTTCACTTGTTACTTGTATAACAAAAGCTTTAACTTCCGCAATGCAAGTTCGGCGTTTTCTCGGAATGTAAATCAAAAGCTCTCCAACAGTGTCAGTCGCAATGCACTTGACTGTTGAAACTCCTTTGCAATGTTAATTCTACGTTGCTACGAATAGAAAATTATTCTGTTTATTTTACATGTAGCTGTACATTG